CTTTTTGATTCAGTATAGGCTGTTCTACCCACGTATGACAAAAAATGCGGTAGTCGCCAAACACCCTGTATATGTAATAAAAGCATGATCATTATTAAGGGAAAGAAACAACTTTACCAATATCTACATCTACTTCATAATCATCAAGCGACTCGTTTTGAAAATCAGTGACATTGAGAATTTCACATTCGACATCATCTTCAGTGAGAGGCTCTTCCATCGAGGCGACGTCAATACCACTGGTCAGACAAGTTTCATCCATTGTGGAATTGTGTGCAACAGTATTGCTTCCTTCAGTGAAAACGTCCGCAGAATGCTTCCCTAATATATACCAGCGAAGTCTGTAGCGAATATCTAATGCTGTTGGCTTATCATTTGCGGCTCCTATTGCTCGTATATAGGAAAACAAATTTTCCACAACATCTTGGTTCAATCGGCTTGTTGTTATATATGACATTTCTGAACTGTTTGTATTGAATCTTTCTCGTAAATCAGAGTAAAGATGCTGTAATGACGAATTGCAGAGAAGAATTCCTTTTTGAAAAGGAAGCATACTTTACCGATTACCAACTTTCATTTTTTTAATTGTTGATGTAACTTCGGTAAGAATCTTGTTCTGTTGCAAAATATCAACGCCATAACCATTTTGTCCAGGATGATGTCCAAATTTGCAGATACTATTGAAAACATCAAACCAGTCATTGAATAGCTTTATAAATTTAGTTGCAGTCCATTCTGGACAATTGTCCATAAATCCACGGGAACCACACCAGTCAATTGCGGCTGCGTTTGTTATAGAAAAAAGTTGTGTTGCCAGTTTTACATTTTGATGTTGTGGTCCTTGGACGTGCAAATGAGTTTCTGACAATTTGTGTGCAATTTTTAAATCGCCGCTGTTGATTTCTAATAATCTTTTCAAGGCTATCGATGTTATAAAATGGCCATTTACGTACAATCCGGAATCAAGGAAATGATTGCGAAGTAATTTTAGCAGATGAGGAGGGTCCATGAAAACATATACCTTTATACATTCATCACATGGATGTTCGAAGTATGTCTTATCCTTCTCGTTTGCATCGATATTTAATTTTATCAATAATTTTTGATTCGACGGTCCCAAATCACAGGTTATCGCGAATACTATATAGCCATTATTATGTAATTGAGTAAGTATATCATATAATGTTTCTTTTGTCATATCCTGATCAAAAGCGTAGAAAATGGGCTGTTTCCATTTTTTAAATAAACCACGAGCGATAACGACTTGGCATCTTTTATGAGGTCCAAGGACTCTCTCCTTTCTTTTTTCAATTTGAACTTGGTTTGATAAATAAATTTCGTCAAAGCAAAGAACTGTCGCTCTCTCCATTTCTGTCATGTCTCGACTTTTTCCTTTCATTATTGCTAATACGTCTTTTAAGATGCCTTCATCAATGTTGAAATCCACTATCCATCTTCGAAGGGTTGACATTCCAGGTAAAGGAAATTGTTTTGTTTTCCTTAGATATCTATAAGCTTTTGGGCTTACGCTTTTTAACGAAATTGCAGCCGCAATATCCTCCTTAGTCCAATGGATATTCTTCTGCTTCGGATTTAAAAGTATTTTTATTTGTCCTGGTGTGAAAAACGGAGATAACTTATCCTGCATTTTCTGTGTCAACTGTTGCTTGTGCAGTTTATCTTTCAAAGCCAATCGACGTTTAAGGGCTTTTGTTTCCAGACGTAAGGCTTTCGTTTTCAGAAGTAAGGCTGCATTTTTGCGTTGTAATTTTTGCATTTTCTGAGAGATATCTGTTTCAGCATGAAAGAAGGAATATATTATTATAAAAAATAAAAAATTAAAGTTAATAAAAAATTGAAGTATTAATTACATTTGTTGTAAAAGCAAATTAAACAAATATATACATTTAGGCAAACTTTTTTTAAACATTTATGTAAATTTATGTAAATAATAAGTAATTAAGAAACAGGTGAAATACAGCGACAGAACGTACCAAAGTTAGGAACCACTGCAGTGTTCAGTACAATTTGAGTTGCACAGCTCGATGCAGAGGTCAACGCAGCACAATCCGTATCTGGATTAAACGAGCAATGGGCAACAAGTTGTGCAACATCTGCTTCTGAAAATATATTTAATACATAAAAGAAGGCAAAGTACAAGACGAGTACTGTTGGTATATATTATAAAAATTATCGCTTGAAATGTTTAATGTTATAATAATCACTTTAAATGTTAAAAATTGACTATATGTATACCCAAATCGTTATCTATGGAAATTTGGTTGTTCTCTATGACTGCCAGTGGAACTACATCACGTTTGAGTCTTACTCGTATATTCCCAGATTCTCCAATTAAATTTTTTAACCACGATTGATCTTCAAATTGTGAATGATGAAAATGTTCCGAACAGACACGAGCTAGACAAATCAATAATACACTTAATAAATCAATTTCAATTACATTTTATTAATTACAATATCGTGTGTTAACTACAAATAATCATACTAACGAATATACATACCGGTTTTAGGGTTAACATTTTCTTTGCACACAAGTTTCCACTTTTCGATTATTTCCGTTTTCTTCGGAAATGTAAAAAAACTGATTTTTTTGTTTTTTGTATTCCGCAAATTGTTTTTACATTTTTTTATTGCACACGATGGCATCGTAATGATCAAAATAAATCTAATCTAATCACTGACAACACTATACCGATCAGCTGTGATCGCAAGATGGCGGTTTTCAGGACACTGCGCAGAACGTGACGAAAATGCGTCCGTGAAATGAGCACACC